TATCACTACTGAATATATTAATATCTGGAAAACTCCATATCATTGTGGACCTTAATTTGCAGATGGTATTCACATTGGTGCATTTCAGGCTTGGTATAAAACATGCAACAAAACCTTTAACCTTTTTCTGAATTTTTCTGAAATTTATTGTAATTTCCCTAGATGAATTTTAATCTCCCAGGATGAGCTCCCTACCTTTTAGAGAGAACAATGAGAACAATGACCCTCTTCAAGCAATACATCATGCAGCTGCTTCCATCCTTCACATGTGTTAATCCTGTCAATACGATGGCCCCAAGCATGAAAGTGTTTAAGTGTTGGAGGTTTTGATTCACAATCCATGCCCATAGATTGTATATCAGTACTAACTCTTTTGCCAAACTGTTCCAGATCTGGTAAGATCTCTTCTAGCACCTGGAACATATANTTTTCATGCTAGAAAGAACGATGTTCTTGCTGTAAATTCGACTTTTCGAGCGCTTTGTCACTATTTTCTCATTGTCCTTGTTTTGATCACAACAGGTAAGTACTTCATTTATCACATGACCCGTACGGCCCTGCTCGCGCGCTCTAATAAAACCATTGGAAAAAGTCACGTGATGGGGGCCGGACGGCTTTGAGCGAGCAGGGCCGTACGCATCCATACGGCCCTGCTCGAATCCGCGCGCTTTCTCCTTTTTAGCTTTTATTTACTATTTCTTTCTTTCTTTTATTTTTTATTGATTTTTTCGTGAGGGTCATATGATAAAATGCTTATTGCCTGAGTTAGGTCGGGCCGTACAGAAAAATATTTGGCTCTCGGTCATTCGTACGGACCTCGCTGCGCTCGGTCAAAATTGGCCAAAAGCTCTCTCTGCAATACTTCAGCTAGGTTTAGAAGAATCGTTCGTGGGCACATTTTAGATGTTAAATGGAGCTTATAAACAAATCTGCATTTACACCTGTCCATCACAATATGTATTTGATTTGCATCAACAGAGGCACGAAAGAAATATATATTTAAGGTACTCGATCATTCCCAAGAGAAAGTATAACAATAGACACGGCTGCCATGTTGGAGGATATAACAAAAGAGACCCAAGAGAACAGTATAACAATAGACGCCTGCCATGTTGGAGGATACAACAAAAGAGAACAGTATAACAATAGACACGCCTGCCACGTTGGAGGTTATAACAAAGAGACCCAAGAGAACAGTATAACAATAGACACGCCTGCCATGTTGGAGGATATAACAAAAGAGACCCAAGAGAACAGTATAACAATAGACACGGCTGCCATGTTGGAGGATATAACAAAAGAGACTAATTCCAAGTCTTTTGTTAAATCATCCAACATGGCGGCTATGAATATAAGAAACTTGTAAAAAAAATCAAAATCATTTCCATCACAGTTTGTACTAAAGAAAACTGTTTTCGATTTGTTTTTTTCAAGCGATTCAATCTGCTTTGTTTGGCTTAACTTTGCGTGACAAACTTTGTCAGCACAAATCTCACAAGGAGTTTAGCCTCCAACTGAATATGGTTGGCAGCCAATCAGATTGTGAGAAAATGACAAGATGTTGTAAAAAACTTAACTTTTATGGGTGCAAAAGTCGCAATCTTGGAGGAAATGGCATAAAATACTTTGTTATTTCCCATCCAACTTTGTAACAGATATTCCAGCAAGCGAGGATTACCTTTCGTCACTAACTATACATCATACTAGGCTAATAAGCTCTAGACGTTTGGTGTTGAAATCCATATGTTATGGGACGACCGCTCTCGGTACGAGCTCCAGGATCTTTATTCTACTTTCTTCTGACTCTGACTAATTACATGAGCTCCCTCTATTTATGATAACTTCATGACAGGTGTCATTCTACAATCAATGTGATATTATCGCTGTGTCTTGATTGGCTGAAGGAAATAGTAAATTCCTAAGTGTGATATCTTATTAAAGAGTAATATGAGTAAAAATCTTAGAACTAAACATAGCTTAAACTAAAGTTAATATATGAATATATTGCAAATGTTATTTAAAAAACTCATTAATAATTCATGAAGGAAACACAATAGAAATCATGACCATGAAGGAGGTTTTATATCTGATATAGATTCGTCTTCATTTGCATAAACTTTAACTTGGATTTTCTCTATCAAACTTGGTTCATTTCGTAAAGAATTCGGTACAGTATGAGAACATACATCAGGAGTTTTTTAAGCCGTTTAATAAACTCGCAGATCGTGTTTTATCGGGTCTAAAACCACTCGGCTATGCCTCGTGTTTTATACCCGATAAAACACTCCTGCTCGTTTATTAAACAGTACAAAAAGTCTACGAGGAATATTTCTATCAAAAGATTTAAAAGAATAGTGCTACAGTAACTGAGCAAAGGGGTTAAAAGTGTTTAGGGCGTAACCAGAGGTGTACATGCTAATGGGAGGAGCTAAGAGGTTCACTTGTAAATTCAAAGCATACCATTATCTAAACTTGTGCGTGATGGTAGCCTTACAGAAATCTTATATCAATATTTTTAATAGATAATTGATCGTTCTTTATCTTGTTTTCATATGATAAAAAATAGTAATTAGAAAACTGATGTCTAGCTTAGTCTGTAAAAACATTAATTTTCTCTCATAACACATACTTCCTTGAGAACTCAGCAAACTCTGAACTGAGGCTGAGAACAGGTCAGCTGCGTGCTACTATACCCCATGGGATCTCTGCTGCAGCTTCAGTGGTTGGCATGAATGGCTCTCTTCTCTGTTCGTACTGATGAACTTGGCAAGAAGCACATCTGGCCACCTTCTGTTTAATGGCTTTGTTCATTCCCAGCCAGTAAACTACTTTCCTGGCTCTCCTTTTGCATTTCTCTACTCCTAGATGACCCTCATATATTAATTTAGGATTTCTGGTCTCATGCCTAGATCAGGGATTGCGAGATCCTCTCATCAGCAACCATCAACTACTGTTAGCTTGTCAGCAAATTAAGTCTTTCTATGGATTCCTTGCAATTCACTGACCAGTTTACTTAGCACTCCATCACTGGCCGTGTCCTTGACTAGCTCCTTGTGCTTGACTTCTGATAGTGCAGATTGCACCACCATTCTGACATGAATCTCTATCTCCTCCTCTAGATCCCCTTTTTCTTTAGTGGGTATGTAAGATCTGGAAAGTGCATCTGCCAGAATAATAGTGTTGCATTCTCATCATCATTCTTTGAATCCTAGGGGACATGTCATCAACGTCCTTACCAGATATGGTAATGAGGGGCTTGTGATCTGTCTCTGCAATCACCTGATGGCCATATATGTAATGATGGAAGCAGGTCAAGCCAAACAACATGCC